TCTAAATTAATAATTTGGAAGACTCGGCAGCCTTGATCAATTTCCGAAAATTCCGAATGATTAGAACATCTTCAATTCTTGAACTCGAGAACAAAAATCTAAGATGAACACTCTATCCGGGTCGCACAAAGGATTAGAATAAACACACAATTAAGACGTGAAAGAGTCTTCCAACTTATGGCTACCTTCCTATGGAAGTTGATAAAGTATAACAGTTCAAGGTATTTAACTGAATGTATAGTAAACCGTAGCGATCTACACAGCATCAATACCAGGAAGTTAAAATATCACATATCTAAACATGGGACTTCTAAATATAAGGGATGCTTTGCCTATGTGTCTCCCCATACACTTAATTTAATTTTTGACTGCTAGGAAAAATTAAAGTTTAACTTGCACTTAAAGTCATATTATTACACTTATTATTTTATTACCTTTTTTTGTCTCTCTTTTTTGTTTTGTTATTTACTAAATACAGTCATAATGATATTATAGCTAAGCTGGGGCATTATACTTAATTTACTTTGGCAGAATGGAAGAACGACCACGTCGAATTCTTGCCTTTTGCGTCTTTGTTTTGTATCATTTACACAATAAATATATTATTATTATTATTAAGTTTAAGTTCTTAAACGTGGATTATTATTAAGTGATTGACAATTACTACAATTTTTTCCACAACTCAAGTAATGGAAAATTTAAACAAAATAACTGCACGAAGCTTGTTTGGACAAATTACCCCGTACGCAGACGTTCGGCAAATAAAATAAAAAAATCTCGATGAAAAAATGACGAATTGCCGGTGGCTGTTCAAACGGTGCCAACTTTTAACTTTTAATAATAAGGGAACACTGAAAGCCTCACGGTGCACTAACTGCTTGACTTTTCAACTTGACAAACTTTTTCCATAAAATGGACAAACCGCTTTAAACTTCTCACACAGCATTTGTTAACTTGGTTCTGCACAAAATTATTGTAATAAAGACAAAAACTTATACTAATCAAATCAGGCGGACTACACAAATAATGTAAAGACACGTACCTACACGCTTTCCAACCGTCGCGAACCAGCCAGCCTAGTTTCGTCGATTGCTGGTATTTAATGAAACACCGCTTCCACAATAAAATAATCTCTCAAAATCTTTCAAAAACACCGCCAATCATAATTAGACCTGATAACCCCGGCTTCGAAAGAATTTACAATTTTCTTTTGCTCGTAGTGGCAGAAAACCCACTCCAAAGTGATGTTGATCGGATTTATGGCACATACATGGGCGGTGTAATTAATTTAATCCGGAAAAATGATTCACGGTCATTTCAAATGATGCGATTTGTCGTAAACAACACATTTCTTTGATCCACTGCACACTTTGAGAGCAAAATTCAAATATTAATTTGAAACCGTGAGAAGTTTGCAGATTTCGAAAAAAACTCCTACCTTAAAAAATATCAAAGGTATTTAACTCGAGAGGAGGCGTTTGATAAGCAGAAATAGTATGAAACCGTTTGCTTAAATATGCCAAATTTAACTTAAAAAGACTTGAGGTTCCCTCCTACCAATGTGGTTACATAAGATTCATAAGAATGTGTGAACTTTGACCGTTTACAACAACAGCTAGATTTTGCTATTATTTACTGGATCTTAAATCAAATCTAAAGCAAATTTGAACTAGAAACGTCTTTTCCTTATTGTTATTCTTGGCGATTATATTTCCTTAATTTTGGCGATCGCTTTATATCTGTTCTAAATGAACATTTTTGAGAGGGGGCCGTTACGAATCTGTTCTAAAATGAACAAATGGTAACGAAGACTTTTAAACATGGCAACGGACAGCGTAAAATGTAAAAATTTTGTCATGAAATGAGTTGAGAAATTGTCATGCTTTATTGACGTTTGAAAAAAACAAAATTATTATCCCGCTTCTTAATTTTAAAATTTTTAGACTTCAAAGCTCCGTATCTTGGGATCGATTCCACCAAACAAGATGATTTTTTTTTAAATAAAGGTAAAGTTTAGGTACTTTGATTGACTCTTATCGCGCTAGAAGCAAAAATATTTTTAAAAAATTTCAATGTCGAGGTTTTTCGAGCATCCTGAGGATAACATAATGAAATTTTGATAGAAAAATGGAGCGCAGTACTACTGAACACCACTGGACAACACACTAAAGTTTCAGAAACTCTGCATTTTTTACAAGCTCCAACCCCCATACCGCCTGAGCTATAGAGATACTTCATCAAATCTTGTTAGAAAGGATCTTTTTGGAAAAATGTTCAGGAATATTTTCTAAAACCTTCTCCCCTTCGAAATATTCCCAAACTTTTATTAGACAAATTTATTAGGCACCTTTTCAAAAATTTTCCGCCTTACAAATCATTGAAACTATCCTTGAAATCATCACAAGAGGTCGTTACAGATACAATAATTTTTTTTAATTTCTGAATCTCATTCGAAACCATCGAAATCGTTTTTTAAACATCTTTTACGATATTCTCTAATAACTATTAAAAACCTCTGGCGAAACCTTCTTAAGAAGAATATGACAAGGATTTTTTTGAGGATCATTTTAGGCTTATTTTTACAAATTACATTACAAAAACTTATTGCAAATGTAGAACTGCTAATCAATAAAGACATTTATTATTATTATTAAATGCTTTTAAAAAAGAATGTTCCTTAAAAAATGTACATTCTTTAGTTCTCAGAACCGTAAGTAGTGTGTTTAGAAATACTTTTGGAAATATTCTAAGAAATAGTCCTTCATTATCGTTCAGCTCGTCCTCAAACCTTTACGGAACTTAATAAAAAGAAAAGTTAAATAATTCTGGGTCTTCCAAGAAACCGTTTCTGACAACATATTAATAATTTTCGTAAAAAGAACCCTTTTAAAAATCTTAGATGTATCCCCTACAAATTAACCACAAATCTGTGGGTATATTTTTTAAATCAGAAAGGTCTTTTTGTAATCATGCTAGAAATTTTGAAAAATATTTTTTGGAACCGTAGACATTATGTGCAAAACCTTTTAGGAATCTTCTTGGATAAACATTACGAATTTTCTTAAGAATATTAATGCCCTTTTTTCTCTTGAATTTAGTAGAAATGGTAAAGGAAATATTAGAGGTAAGAAGTTTGTAAATTTTCCTAACCAACTTACTACACACCCTTCAGCATATTTCTGTTCATTAGCGCATTTTTTAAGAATTAAAAAAGGCCCCCCCCCCCCAACGAATTATTTCCTGAAATGCTGTTTTTGAAAGTAAAAAGTGCATAACTTTTACATACGACAACCAATTGGTCTCAGATTTTGCATACGCATGCCTTTAGTGATGCCAAGTTAAACTTTAGAAAATGGGGGGGAGGGGGAAGGTGGGGTAAAAATACTTGTTTTTCTGTTGTGCCATGATGTTCATTTTCCTTTTCCTCTAAAACGCATTATGCGGGTCACTCTGTAATTGGGCACATGCCTGTTAAGGGTCCCAAACAAGTGTGTGGGTACCAATACGATGTATATAAACCAAGATACATCGTTGCTACATCGTGTAGCTATCGCGTCACTTTGAAGGCCCTTAGTCTTTATCTAATTAAACCCGTCCAAAAATGACGGAGTACTACTCAAGGCAACCATTAATTAATTTTCAATTATTAAAGCTCCATTTATTTTGAAAAACCCACATAATTCGAAAAACCGCACCCTCAGCGACTTTTAGGCGTACTTGTTATCTGTACGCAACGTAAGAAATTTAATATTTGACTCTCGTTAAAACGGATGTAACTGCATACAAAAGACAGACTCCCTGACGTGATCCAGTTTAATTAAACACGATCAATATTTGTCGGAAAGAACACGCTAGAACCTTGACATTTTCTTAAAAATTCTATTTTACTTATTTCTGCGAGAAAAATCGAACAAATTTAAATCCACCGCCCCTTACAGTACCCCCTTTTGTTTTTTGAGACGAAGAAAACCTGATAAGAAAATTCTAAAAACTCCTAAAAGAAATGTAACACCTTTTAAATCTACTAAAAAGTAAAAACATAAAATAAATGTCAAAAACTCCTAAAAAACTAACCTATCCAATCTAAAAACCCTAAACCTAATCAAAAAACAATTTATATACATTTCACTTCACTTTTCCACTTCATTATTCATTTCGTACTGTCATATTTTCTTCTTTTTTATTCCTTTTTTTCCAGTTGATAAGATTCCATCTTTTCTCCTCAACTAAACTAAACGTGGAGAAGCTAAACTAAAAACCGTTCTCTTACGAAATTTTGTTTCCTGTCTTTGCAAAGGCCAATACAGAAAAACGATTTAAAGATAAAATTGACGATATTGTTTTGTGTAAAAAACTTTTATGCTGTGGTAATCATTGGTATTCGTGCTATCCTTTTTATACTCCGCGATATGATCTTGGCACGTAACGTCAAAATTCGTATTGTCACATTTTAGAATAAAATTGATGCCTAAACAATAATTTTATTCATGAAGTCCGAATATTTTTTAATAGGAAATATAAGGCGGCGGATACTCTTAGTGAATAGCACCGTTCCAAACGAAGCCGAATTGAGTTAAAAAGGCGATACGTTTTAAAAGCTCTAAGGTACTTATACGTTTTGAAAAAATCTATAAAATTTACATTAAGTTAGATACATGAGCAGCTTCAATTTCCGTTCTGTGACGTTTATACACTTTGAATATAAAACAGTGTTACTTATAATCGAATCAAAGCCTGGGAAAAGTGAAATTCTATACTCTTTGCAATAGATATGTGCTTTGAAATAGCTCTTGTTCACATTAACAAAATATTTCGCTAAGTATAATCAGTTACAAAACCATTATTTGTAGAATCTCACCCCTGCTACTGTGCTCCACAATTTATATCACATGGATTACACAATGTGGGTTATTATAAACGCATTATCCTCTCTCTGTAGCATTAAGATAAGCCTCCCTAAAATATGTTTGCGGCTGACTGAGCGTATTTGTATGTTTTAGGTTACTGTGTGCTCGCCTTCCTAAAGCTGTGCTTCCTGGGGATCCTTCGTTACGAGATCCGTGAAATGATACAAAAAATTCGTATCCTTCGCGCGGAACTGGAACTGCCGAATGTAAATGGTGCCGTTCCCGGTACGCTTCGAGCTGAAAGTGCCGAAAGCGAACGCGAATCTCTTCTGGTGAGGCCCGAAAGTGCGGCACTGCTCTCGTCGCCACCGAATCCGTCGAAGAATCCGAACGGCAATAATAATTACGAGATGAGGGAGTACAGACGAAGCAGTCGCGACAATATATGACTAAAATATCGCCTGGAGGGTCTTTTTAGTCGCGGTAGATGGAACCGCGAGAAGAAAGGTCCTCTGGCCACGCCTCTGGAGGAAATATTTACGAAGCCAACACGTGCCCGACCAAGGGACGAAACATGTTGAGACTGATCGAGTGACAAGGTAAAACTCGAAAGTCGTAGTCACCGTTCCGCTCCATTTTAGATTCCTACATAGGGAAACTCAAATTTTGAGTGTCACCAAAACGTTCATCATAAACCAAAGCTTTTTTAGGAGCGCTTAGAGCGCTTTAAAATTTACTACCTACTATAGACCACCACGGTATATAAAATAATGATTATATTAAAATAACAATGTATGTAGCTGCGTGAAATGATAACGAATAAATTCAGTAAGATAAAATTGCTTAAATTTCGTAATTGAATTGTAAAATGTTACATAAATTTAAATAATTAAATGTGAAAACCTCCGCAGCTTCAGAGGCGAACGGACGACTGTTGAATAGTGATTGATTTAGTATAGTTTCGGGAAATGACGATTAATGTTTGCATAAAATGAGCTTAATTTTGATAGTGCCTCGTCATATACAGTTACCTAAACGAAGCTGATAATGGACTTACCTAATATTTATACCTAAAATGTAGCGAACGTAGTATTATACAATATTCGATTTGTGTAGAGAATTCCAAAATATTAAATTGCTTTTAAATATGAAAGAATTTAATTGAGAATCTAGTGTGATATGAGATGACGTGCATAGGAACTTACATAATATGTGCGAAGCCTTTGTGTACATATTATATTTAATTTTTCATGAATGCGTACGAGTGCAGCCATTCAATTATTCTCATTTCCAAAGAGTTTCCATTGATTCGGTTTAAATAGACATCTCAAAACGTTGCGGTAAAACCGAAAGACTGTGCATGCTTCAGAAATTTAAGCACGTAGTGCAAACGCACTTAGGCTTAATCCTTTAGGATGGATAAGTGACTTTTAATTTTAGGCTTCCAAAAATTTGCATCGAGTGATATTGCAAAAGTAACAGACATGGTTGGCAACACTTATTTTATAAATTACGACAAAATCAAAAAACTCCATAGATATAAATGACAGTATAATGACCAATTCAACCTATTTTTACGCTTCCTCATTTTTTACGCGAACTTTATGCGATAGAATTTATGTAAAGTTATTGTTAAAAAGCTATGTCATGTTATGCCTGTGAATAGAGAGAATATACAGTGCGTTTCCTGATCCGTTGCCACGGTAAATGATTATTTTAATTTCACTAATAGGTGGTGTACCAATAGTGAAACGCTCTGTACATTGTAACTATATTTCCAATAAAATATTGTTAGAAAAAGACACTTTGTTCTCTTACCTTTAACTCGTCGCCTTTCAGCTTGATGCAGCAGTCGACAATGGATCCTCCGATGACGACCTATAAAAAAAAATAAAGGTTGGTAACGGTAAGCCTTTATATGACAAATTTAAGAAAGAGTTTCTTGAGGTTTTGTACACGTTGCATTGTATTAGGATAGACATATAGGTGAGAAACAATAATGGACGAAGTGTAGAACCTTGTGGAGGGTCCTGACATCACCGTACCGTAACATAGAGCTTTTTCAAAGGTTAGGCAAAGGGTCCAGAAATCGGCGAATTGTATGCATCCTTTGCAAAAATGCACCACTAACGAGATATCGCGTTAGAAAGATTTTTCTATGTCCATAACTTTCCTATACGGCCAGTTATAATTATCGAGACTTGTGGATTCAACAGGCCTTCTGTAAATAAATAAAGCATTGTCTCTTTGTTTTCATGTTTAAACCGCTGTACAAGGCTTTTTTCGCATTGATACTAGGTACCTAAACATCGAGAGTGACACAACATAAATAAACAAGTTGTAAGTGAGCATATGCATGATTAAAGCGCATTTTTGGTAATACTGGTCAGTATTTTATTAGCGATAAGTTTAAAATTATCGATCTCACGAGTAATTTTGGCTACGTTAAATAATTAATTTTATTTAATTTCATTTGAGGGTACGTTTTTATTTTGTAAAACAAATCACAAAGTAAATAATTAAGTTTTTATACTGGTAGCGCTTTCTAACGGTAAAATTATAGCACCTCCGAAAACCATATAGAAATTATTTTCTTAAATTATCGATCTCACAAGTGATCTAACTCAAAATATACCAGAGCCTGCACATCTACACTATAGCAGAAAGCTTTTAGTGAAAATTTGAAGTCTCTAGCTACTGTAGTTGCTGAGATCTCACCCGGACAGCCGGCCGGCCAGCCATAACGAATATAATAGCGTATTTTTTTAAAAAATGCGCTAAAAACAAATAAACATCATCAGTTCTCACATGACGCAGACAGATAAAAGTATCACATGCAGTTATGGGTTTGGAATTGTAAATTTTTTATACATCGCTGCTAAGTAGTGGTCATCGTATTGATTGTTTGATAATTTGTCATCATAAATAGCGTAGGTATCTTTATTTCCCATTCACTAGGGCAATGACAATTAAAACTCGCAATTTTTAAAAAAATCTTGACAAGAGGTCGACCTAAAGCTCTCGGTATAGTTACTCTTTTTTGTATTACAAAAGCTCAGTAGGTGTCAGGATCATTATAAACAGAGAAGCACTTATCTAGCTGTAAGGTAATTAAGCGACTTTTAATTTTAATGGATAGCAGTCTTTGGAGAGTGTGTTTGTCAAGCAGATTTTTTTTCGATTATGTGTCAATAGTGCAATAATAAAAGAGCTGTTGACCTTGGTAATTAGGTTCAAGACGGGTAGTCTTTTACCTGGTCACAATATTTTTGGCGACCGTGACAGGACAATCTTTGATGGTGTTTCGCGAACTAACTGTGGGAGAAGAAGGAGTGCTATTGAGTTTATATACGCGGGTAGTATATCGATTGTTTCTGTTTTTTGATTGTGATAGACGAATACCCTGAAAAAGAAACACGGAATTTTACGAGCAAGTTTTGCCAGATTTGTAAAAGATCTGGAAAACCAGTTGAACGCAGACAAGGGAGATCTCCAAAAGGTAAAAGTAGTTTGGGAGATGTTGCAACAAAAGGGGGAAGCGTTGAAGACAGCTGACAATGACAGTCTTGTCCTGCAGGATATTGCAATTACAGAAGTGAATCTGCTGACTGAAATGGACACATCGTCGAGTATCGTAAGCTGTTCACCTAGGAAGTCGATGTGTGAAGGCGTTCGACAGAATATAGAAGTAAGGTCACTAGATGCATTTAGTGAAGGAGAAAAGGAGTCCCGATTGTTTCAAAGTGAAACAAATGCCATTGGAAGACAAACGTAAGACATTGATCGACAAGGGCGCTTGTTGTGGTTGGACTCATCTTCGGGCAATATGTACCGTTTCGTCAGAGCGTAAGGTTGAGACGCCTACGAGAAATCAAGGAACACGTTAAGATTAATAACCAGCCCTGTGATGTATCAGTAACATTAAACTTAACGTGCAGGTTATCTGTCAAAAACATCATCAATAACGCAAAATAACGTTTTTTGGAAGATAACTTGCACGTTAAGTTTGACGTTTCTGATACAGGGCTGAATGATAAAGGTAAATCAATATTAACGCACGAGTGTTTTTTGCAAACGGTCTACGTGAACTTGATGAATGGAACAAAGTGCGTGCGCTGATTGATAGTGGGTCTCAGAGATGAGTACAGTACAGAGACTCTGTTGCAGTCCGAAAAGGATCGAAAAGTTTGTTTATTCGCGTTTTGGAGGTATGAACTCAGCAGAACAATGCCATAATTGTTACGAATTGGTGCTGTGTGGTAACGACGATTTTTGTGCTGTAGAAATTCTGGACCAACCAACGATTTGCTGCGAGATTGACCCCGTTATGTCCGGTCCCTGGACGTGTGAGTTAGAGTAATTGGATATTATTTGTTTGACCGACCATTGAATTATTGTTGGGGTCGGATATCGTCGGACATTTATATACAGGTCGACGATCTCATTTCCATTGTGAGAGATTTCTTTTATTTTTTTCAGTGTTGGGACAAAGTTCGGGTTTGCGCCCCTCCCTTTACCAAATCCTGGGACCGCCACTGCCCTGGGTGGAGGGACATCCTTTCTTTCCCACTAATTATGCTATTGCGATGAAGAGGATGGAGTCGACTACAAAGAAATGAAAGGGCGGCCTTATAAGTATTTACGATCACATATTTCGAGAATGGAAACAACAAGGAATTGTGGAAGAAGTTCCGACTAAAGAATGTCACTTTCCGGGGCACTTCCTGCCACATAGGTCTGTTATTTAAGAGGAAGGTTTAACGACAAAGGTTAGGCCTGTATTTAATGCATTACCCAGAGAACGGAATAAACCGTCATTGTCTCTTCTGCGGAAAGGTTTGAACAGTCCATATTATTGAGACTTCGCCAGCAAAAGATTGGAGTTACGGCTGACATACGAAAGGAATTTTTGATTATAGGATGTTTTTACAATTCTTGTGGTACCAGCAGCGGAGTTTAGACACCATCGTGTGGTTTTTAGTGTCTGATGTCTATCATTTCGTCGGTATACGGTCCATCCAAAACTTTTTGTAATTTCGGGAATAGTCCGCGCCTCTTCTGAGGACGACACAAACAAACCAGGTTCCCGGGTTGATAACCACTCGCTTGGGCCTTCACTTCGCACTGCTCTTTGATTCTATCACTAGGTAACTGCATATTATCCAGAATGGATGGCGCCCAATTTCTGTCGCAGATTCTCCACGTACTCGTTCCCCACAGTTTCTTCCTCGTCTTCTTCTCAGTGAATAGAAACTTCTTCATGGCCTACTCAAAGTACTTGTCCGTTGCTGCTCTAATAATCTTTTCATTATTTCTTCTAGATTCTTGTTCTTTTTTGTGATGTGCACGTTTTCTTTGCAGCATAATATTCCATTTTCTCATATATCGTGCAAGTTTCAAAGCGTTTCCACTTCGCGAACACCGTCTATGAACGTCTGCACCACCATTTGCTCTATAAAGCTTTCTAGAGGCGTAGGATACGCCAATCCGATCATCGGGCTATATCAGCTTCGAATTCTTGGAAAGCTTCGCTCAATTTTTGCGTTTGATTTTTAAATTGGGCGTAATACACCTGCCACAAATGTTTATCTACGTATCGAGTTTCCAACCGTGATACAATTTGCGCGAAGTCTTATTACTGGTGTTCTGAATCGTACGCCAAACATCCAACGCATCTCCACGTAACGCAAATATCAGCAAAGTTGTCTTCTCATAACCTCACTTTACAGCCACAACACAGTTGACCGCCACATCTACATCCACATCGACTCACAAAAAATAACTTATCTTACCACCATTCATCTATATTTTAATATTTTAACTTTGACGCTAGGGCCAGATGATGACAATAAATGTCGAAATCGATTGCCAAAAAAGAAAAAATTTATTATAATAGGTAATCCACTATAAATCCTTCACCCTTGTCTTCTCTTCCCTGTCCACTTCTTCGTATTTGCGGCGACGTCAATCTGTCTCAAGTAGGTGGACCACGGTGATTTTCCATCGAATATCGGTGGCTTAACTCGAAATTTCGCAGTACCAAATATACTCTCACACATTTCGGCGGCTTGTTTGCGGGACGATTGTGGAACATCAAGCAGATCTTGTGTTATCACAGATGACACGTCACTCTTTTCGCGTTCTTCGGTTAATACCTACATAATTCGTTTTCATAGTTTATCGATTTATTTCATTTTCTACCATATGAATCCAATCCTCGTTTTTATCTTGGACACTCTGTATCTTATTTTGGACACACTGTATCTCATCTTGAAACAGACCTCTTATTTCTTGTTAGCTTACTTCCATTTTCGCTTCCATGGCTTGTTGACCAGCTTCGGTTTTAGCTTGTTAACCGGCCTTCATTTCTTGCATTAATTGCAGAAGTCGATCCATCTTTCTGGTCACCACTAGCATAAACTTTCACTAATTGTTCACTAACACACTACCCCACACCTGACACCAGTGTAACGTAAATTTAATTACGTCGTTTATTTACAAAAACGATAAATGTATAACAGCCTTGAAATGAATCGATTTACAACAGTAAGATAATATTTATCACTCACAAATACACAATTTATAACAGCGCGAATCATTTGTTACTTCGGCGTCATAATTGGAACTAACTTGAATCATAATTCGATTTGCTTATATAACAGAACCTCTCTCGATAGTTGTCGAACGCTTCCGGACACTTCCGAACCTTTCTAGAATGTTCTAGAACAAACACATCGTATTTATCTTCAATTAATTAATTTACTTCATCGCCGATGACTAATCCTCCATGACGCCTCGATGTCTGTTGAAGTTTCTGGAATGTTCTCTACAGTACTGGTTCTTCATTCAAAGTTAGCTGCCTTTAAGCATTTTTGACAAGTAGATAATCGTTTACATTACTTAAAATCACCGGCGGTGACTTAGCGACTTTATAAGTCGCGTCGTTTAGTATAAAAACAGTCACAGGTAGCCGCCCAGTGCAAAACGTATGTCTTTTATTTCGCATAGGCTAGATAGAGATGCAAATATAAAGCATAATTTGTGTAGAAGTCACAGGCCACAATTTTTGCAGTGGACGGCTACCTGCGATGATTGACGTGGCTGGTTTTTTTTTATAGAAGAGGTGTTTTATTCATTTGCTGCTTGTTAGGGCTCTCATCAAACTTCGGCAAGGTAAGGGGTATAAGAACATTTTTTATTACTGAGCAAGCCGTGGGTAAAATAAGAATTAATTGTCTTACTAAAATTTTTGCCAGTGCCGTAGAGGTTCAATATTATTTTCGACCCCTCCAAATGAAACTAAGTGGTTATTTATAGTGTCATCATCACCAATGAAGTGTTTGGATATAAAAACACCTACAAGATTCATAATTTATTAAATATACAATAAACGCTACTGCATTCGATAATAAATATTATATGTTCCAATTCCCCAGAATGTGATGCAGTACTTTACTTATATATCTATCTAATGCTCCAATGAAACAAAACGCCCCTTAAGCATTAAATTCTACACCAAATCATTGAATAATTCTAGATGGGCTGAATTGCACTCGCTAAGTACTCCAACAAAAACCCAAATTTTTTCCAACACAGAAAATTAAAAAGCTTTTTAACCTGGTAATTTACGAGTAATTTGCAATACATACTAAAAAATGAGGATTAGTTAGCACATGTATACTTTATTAAATGGCACACGCACACACCAAGTAAATTATGTAAGAGTCATTCCGCAATCGAATCAGTATGCTCTTTCAAATGGATATGCAAGTGCAAAGCCATGTAATATGGGCTTATTTCAGTTTAGTAGCGTCTGCCAGATTAGGGAGGATCTAAAAACAATGGTCACGTAAATTAAGCATAAAATTTAACAGACCACAACAATAATGTATATAAGAACAGCTTTGGAATAAATCTTTTATAAATTCATTGAAATGAAATACAAACCGGCGGATTGTCAGTAGTCGAGCTGCCTTCAAATTTTCCAGACCCTTGAATATTTCCATTTGAATCACCTTTTAACCCACATAACTTTACAGCAATTTCGGAGGCCACCCTGGCGTTATTTTTAATAAACGCAATGTCTGAGAAAAACAGTTAGGGAAGAATATTAACAGCATTGACTTCGTTATAATGAAAAAGGATACTGGTCTTCAGCGAGGAACCTTTGGTTAATGCGGAAATCTGCGATAGCAAGTAGGGGGTGATTTCTTTACCGGATATTCCCAAAGTCTTTGCGCTTAACATGGCGCGATCAATTATTTCGTTCATTTCCGCCGCACTCATTTCGAACTCTTTTTCAACGGGCACGGCGAATAACAATCCCGATGTTAATCCCATTTCGAAATGGCATTTAATAATGTTTGCAGCCTGAGCTGCATCAGTCACATAATATGGAGCTTGGCAGCCACTCGTTCGGCAATAAAATGCTGGAAACTCTCTATTACTTCCAACAGTTGCCACGAATACTCCTTGAGTTTCCTACAATAAAAAAGAAACGGAATCAATGGCTGCCCTGACCTCAAACTTATCGCGGCACTTACAAGATATTCCAACGTCTTGGGAATGTCTAGAATTGATTTCACTCCACTTGAAATCACTGCAACTGGACTTTTTCCAAGCTCAATTAAATCGGCCGAAATATCAAACGTTTTCTCGGCTTCCCGGTGAACTCCACCTAAACCTACAATGGGAAAGTAATCACCTCCCATGTCGGCATTATCATTATATTATTGAAATAACAGAATAACAACTTATAAAATATTCATGAGCCGTTAATAAAAATTGGGGTTGAACAGAATTTCAATCTGTGCACTTTCATGTAAAACATGATCCATCAACGTGTAAATTTGGGGAGACCGCGCATTTGAATATTGGTAATAACTCTTCCTCGATATTAGGAAAAAATTGATTACCCACCTAGCTACCAAAACAACGTTTTTAACCCTCGTACGTTCGCTTTGGGCTTGGCATTCGTCCAAAGTTTCGTAACGACTTCATTCTACTAAAAAGAAATGTGGCGTCAGTATCTTAATACTGATTTAACCAATCATATTTCTCCGTCAATTTTTATTTTCAGTGCAAGGGACTGCGGGAAAAATACAATTAAATTAAAACCTCGCTTCGCTCATTTAAATTGTAATCCCAATTCTTTTTCTTTCGATCCGATACGGGTCTCACGCTACAGGCATTTGTTACCCGGTAATTTGGAAAAGTGGAACGTCTCTCTAATACAAATTACGAATTAGTTACCTCCGGTTGCAAACACCTGGATACCAGCTTGTTTTGCGACAATTAAAGTTGCAGCCACAGTGGTTCCTCCATTTAGCTTGTTGGCTATTACATAACCAAAATCTCTTCGGGATGTCTTTATGGCACTCGCTTTGCTTGTATCGGCTAAGTCTTCCAATTCAGTGGAAGTTAGTCCGACTTTGATACGACCCCTCAAAATCGCTATTGTTGCTGGTATTGCGCCCTGAAAACAATAACAAGAATTGAGTGCCGAGTATAGCGTTCGATTAACATTCAAATCATTATTTAGGTGTATATTCCGGACGTTTTATTCAATTTTCTTTAAGCGTAAATGTGGTCGTTAAATTTGAGAATGAATACAATTTCTACCATGATATTTGAATTTGAAGTAAATGTAAAATTTTTGCTTAATTTTCTTTAAATAATCGCGTAGTATTTTGATTTTATTTTATTGTTCATTTAGAAAGTTTAAGGACAGTTGGAAATAATGTTTTGTTAAACTTATCTTATTTAAATCCGGTCGTTGCGATAAGAAATTTGTTATCGCTGCGTAAGCTAATTTGTTTGAAGAAAATCGGCTTTCGCCAATAAGAAAATAGGTGTTGTTGCAAATCTTGCCACTTTTTTTATACTGGTACTGGCACGTAAAAAAGCGAAAGATGGCACATCTCTACTATTCATATTCTATTAATTGCACTTACTAGTGCGTCACGGAGCTAGTTGACTCCTCCTGCAAACTCTAAATTGGTCATCTGCGCATAGTCCGCTCTCGCCTTCTTATGTGCCGGTACCAGTATAATAAATTTAGTTTTAGGCTCTACGAAATTTTATTTAATACGTCGTTGAAAGTGAATGTTTAAATCTAGTTAAGCGGAAGGATGTATTACGTTTACATACAAAGTTACGCCGGACTTTTGCGTCTATAATGCGCTTATCTTTTATATGCGGCCTTTCCCAGTACCAGTTAAAAGGAATTTTTTCCACCATCAAAGAGCCAATTTTACATCTGTCAATTACAGTGTCGTCTAAATCGAAACTTAAGTGCAAGTAAAGGAGTGAAGTTCATCCGTTGGTGTGTTTGTTTGTGGAAAATCGCAGTTATGACCGAAAATTCTAGGTAAACACGTTAAGACAATTAAGATTTCTTTAATTAATTTGTTCAATGGATGTGGTGAATTGGAAGGAATCGACGGGACCAATTCAATGTTATAACTGCAGACGAATGGGTCACAAAGCTAGTCGGTGTCGCTACGAAAAGAGTGTACCATTTGTAAACGTTTTGGGCACTTGGTAAAAGATTGCAGCCGCGATTTTAAAGCAGCAGATGCAGATCACTATTCTACCACAATGCACGTGGAAATTTGCAAAGCGACTATTACCTTGACTGTTGAGCAATCGAATGCTTATGTTGACTCCGGATGTGACTAAAATTAAAGGGAAGTCAGTTTTTCGCTAGCCTTGATCTGGTTAGCGCAAGGTACCGGTTCCCTATTTCTAAAACCGCGATTACGATTACGACCCCTGACGGTCACGCATGCCGTTTGGTCTTGCGAACGCACCGTCAGTCTTTCAACGAATACCTTAGAGGGGCTACGGAAGGGTAATCCCACCTTCTGGTTATCCAAATTTCAATTTTTGATGCCCGAACTGCCACGAAATAGGGATACGTCTCATTCGGTGAGGTAGAAATAAGAATGCAACAGTCGAAAGGCCCCCAGCGTCTAAAAGTGTAAGACAATTCCTTGATCTAACGAGCTATTTTCGTAAATTCGTGTAAGGATTTTCTCTTATCAATAAATGGAAAAATTTACATGGACGGAACAATATTGTCGTTCAATAGGTCGTTCAAAGATACATGTGGGACAATACGCTGGTAGGCAGGAGAACGGTCGCGTCAAGCGGGTCAAGCGGGAGAAGGCGCCGAATAAAATTTCTAATGCACTCAATTATAAAAGACCAGTAAGTACGCTTTTGTCCTTTTATATTGATTGTATACGAGTGTCGGAGGGGGCGAACCCAATCAACAGTATGAACAACCGAGAGCAAGTCATGAAAATATCAACGATAGAAACCACAAAACAGCCCTGCGCAGGGGGAACTCCAGCGGCTAGGAATGATTATGAAAATGTTCATCAAAGTCGTACAAGAACATCGGCGAATAGAACAAATCAGAAAGAGACAAGAAAAAACCCAAAAGGAATTGAATAGGTGGAGAGAAGGTCAGCATAAAACAAGAAACTGCTCAAGAAACGCAAAACGGGGTGAACAGGTGGAAATCAAAATAGGTCACAAGAATAAAAAAGAAATGATACTAGGATTTAGAGCGGATCAAATTCAATTGATAGGGACAATCGAGGCCGACCAGAACCAGGTGGAATAAGAAATTTCCCGAAAAGAAAACTGTAACAGTGGATCCGAAGATGAAGAGAAGGGAACAATGGGGGGCGACCCATTAATTTTAAGAGTTTGGAGGGAAAAAATTCAAAAGTAGTATACGCTTACAGGCAACAACCTCTGCCTGGTCCAACCAAATCTAATAACACTAGATTAAAAGTAATTGTTACATTGTTGATGGAGTCAAATTTAATTATCTGGCCAGTTATACTTTTTCTAGTTTAATTGTCACATTATAGAACGGCATATGTCTATTTTAAACCGTTTACGCATTATATGCATTGATTTAAACGCTAGACATATGCCGTCGCGAAATGTTTAGTAAAGGTGGTAGAAACTTTGCGAACACCCTGTATTCTGGACGATTATAATATTTCAATCACTGTGTACCTAAATTAAATTTTACTATGCGGTATGCGCATGATTGACTTATTTGTGCATCGACTCCGTTGTTGGTTTGTGCTTAGATCATATGATCTAAGGGTTTGTGCATCGACTTAACCTCATAATTCCACGTTTCAGCATACCTTTCCTACAAAGCTATTTTACCTTTTCTCGAACTATTCCCTCAACTTCCCGTGCGCAATGTAAGTTGTCGGGAAATGGCATTCCATGGGTTATAATTGTCGATTCCAAAGCAACGACGGGTTGGTTGTTTTTCAAGGCATCCTTTACTTCTTCATTGATTATAACGTGACTTGATATTTTGCGTTTTGCGGAATGTCTTTGTAAATTAAAGTTTCTGTTAATTAAGGTACGCCACATTATTGTCAACACTTAAAAACGGACAGTAACACAGAGAGCAAGACAAGACACAGATGTTGAGAATAAACTACCTACTACTATATGCCTATAGTGGACGTGTAAATTAAGCTATTCATTATGCTATCAGTAAAATGTAAACTTGAACCAGAAATAAATATACAGTTTGTGCGTGACTCACTCCAATTTCCTCAATTCAATTATATCTCCATTACTGCTTATCTCAAAACATGTATTATTGTCATTGCGCAAAATCCCACGCAGCTTTTTTTGCAGTACCTACGCTTTTAAAAAGCCTTCATGGGATGAATTTTATACGATTTTAGTGCTAACCAACACAGAATCGTATCGTACAAATTTTGGTGTTGACGCACTACCAAAGAATTAATCAGAAACGTGTGGAGGTACATGACCGGATTTACCATGGGGCGATGTGGACCCAGGCCCATAGCGGCAAATTTTTAGGGGCGGCAAAAAACCAAATTCGGGAAATAATTCTGCAGTACTATCGTGGAAAAATAACATAACCTCTTAAGAGATTGAAGTTGGAATGTTACGCACACTCTTACAAACTTAAAAGTAATCATGAAATAAGCTCACATTTCGACGAAATTATGTGAACTTTGTATTCAGATTGTGGAAAATTTAGGGCTTCTCCCGCAATTTTTTTTTGTTTAAATCGCCCTCTAGTCCATTTTTATCAATTTCATGGTCGTACCTGGGGGACTTAATAACGTCACGTAACCGTTAGATTCTTTGAATTCTCTGAAACACGATTCAGTGGTTACACGTAAACTTGGAATACCACTTCTGAATTTCACATTGTAAATATTACGTAATAACGTATATTCTTAATTAAAAGTAAAATTAGATATAGCCCCATGATCACTTCCTGTTATAATGATGCGGAAATATTAATAAAAAAAAAACGAGTAAATTTCTCTAAACGTAAACAGTTATTTGTTTGTAATTCAGACAGATATGATACCGTACTTTGTTTCAATATAACACTTTATAAATCTCATAATTAATCTAATAGTTATTTATGCAATGAGTGTATAAATGAGCAGTGGCGTCGCTAGAGTACGATGCGCCGGGTAGCAAAACAATTAATGCGCCTTTCTCCAAAAATAAAAAATAAAGATTTTAGCAATTTATTTTAGTATTGTTACAGTAATGTATAGGTACACTAAATACACATTAACACAATAACAATACAAAAAAAGAACTTACTATTTTTCCTTGAACCACAAATTAACTAATGTAATATTTGAGAAAAAAGAACGGCAAAAAAGAAGCCAATATAATGAATTGCAAAATACACAATGAACTTAACTCGCATACACATGCAGGTGCAGGGCAATAATGATAACGTTCAATGCTTCGCATCGCATCCTTGCACGTGCACCTCGCATGACTTCATTTAGATTTAGTTGAAATGTGATATTGTCAAGATTCGAGATACAATAGGCCTTTATGTTAAATAAAGGTCTTTCTTTTATACATAAGCTTACAGGTTTACTGTATCACAGTTAGATAATTAAATTTAAATCTTGTAAGATTATTTTTGTTGAATTTTTGCTACTCTGATTAATCCCAACCGCGATGTAAATGTAAATAATATAATAAATAAACCAATAAACGATACTAACCGCGCCGCGGCGCCTTTCGGTACTTGGCGCCGGGTAGCAATTGCAACCCCTACTACCCCGATAGCTACGCCACTGTAAATGAGGCGTTTTATTGGTGAGTGAGATGTTTAGTCCACGAGCGCAGCGAGTGGACTAAATTCGAACGAACCAATAATCGCCGATTTATACATGAATTGCATACAACGTTTTTTCGTCGACTTCACTGGGGTAGGTAATTTTAAATTCAACTACAAGAAATTACAAACGAAATTATGAGCTCCGACGATTTTTCACTAAATTACAGCTATTGTCGTTGCTATAGTAATGTGTTGTTTTATGCTGTACCGTCAGTACTCGTAATCACAGTGGAAGATTATGTTGCTTGCTCTGCTGCGGAGGCGATTTTAACATTATATCCACTCAAATCAAAAGAAACTTATTGGAACGGTTTCGATCAGTTCGGCAATTGATGGAATACAATGAATTTGTAAGGAGATATTTCCGAAAATGTCACGTTGACATTTTACCTTGAAAAGGTATGTGAAATTAGAATGTAATTAATTCTTTTGCAACTGTACTAAAGTACGTGTATTAACAGTGAAAGATATGGAAATGTTCATCCCTGTCGTCGACGTACTCAATGTTGAAGGTAAAGTAACTGAATACCTTAACAATACCTTATCCGAGGTGCTACACATACATCCATCAGGATATGCTTTGCTGAGATCGTTTGGCGACCATACTGGCTGCTGATCTCACTACATTAAAACCGACATTAAAATGGTTAGGTGGATGGAAGTTCTCAGCTGTTGCCGAAAGTGAATTGTTATATATTGTCATTTCCCTTTAATAAAATGGTTATGTGTAAGTGGTTGCTAACGATTAATGGTTGCTAACGTATAAATGGTTGGTTGCTAACCATTAATGGTTGCTAACGATTAATAAGCTTCATCATTGTACTCGTCACTAAGGAGTAATTTATATTGTTATCGAGAGGTCGACGAAAAATAGTACATTATATATCAAGGTAGAGAAGTCCACTATTAATAGATATATACTTCTCTACCGTGGTATATATACTATTTTTTTCACTACTAGCACTTGAAATCCTCTAAATTAACATATTATATTGATAAGAGAGTTAACGGTTGGACAGAATTGTTTGTTTTTTAATTTAACATGTCAATCAAGTACGTGGAAGTACAAGTCAAACAGGCCGTATTTTGTTCTGTCATTGAGATTTTTCAAAGAGTAATTTCGTTCGAATTTTTTCAAATGTGATAATTTTAGGTATGTAATTTCTCTGGAAATTGCGAATGGTGGCAATTATTCGTTTTAGAGAACTTGTCTAAACGTTCATTGAGCGAAATTTCGGGTTGGGTTTTCTAAAAGTGACAGCGTGACAGTTCTCATTATTGACTACTAGTTAATAATAAAAAATTATTAACCACTTTGAACAAATGCCGAGAAAACCTACTTTACAAGTGGAAAAAAGGTTAATAATCATGTCATCAGACGCTAGTAGTGAAAAAAATTGATTGTTACTTTAGAGAGCCCATTACTGTTTAAATTTCTGGGTGGAAAAGTTCAATTCTTGTCTATAAGACATGGAAACATTGGGATGCGCTTGCGACCCATGAGAAGAGCAAGGGATGGCAATTTATGGCATCATAATGTTGCATATCGGAGACGTCGTAGCACTACCTGAAGAGGATACTGCCATACTTTGTTATTTTCGCGTGCCCGTAAAGCGAATGGGCCACTGAATTGGCGACGAAACCTCCTGCTACTGCAGCCAATCTACAGCCACCGAACTGTTTTAAGTTGAAGAAATCCACTGGCACTTGCTAATATTGTAGCGATCATATGCCAAAAACAATGTCCGGTAATTAAATGTAATTTGTCACATTTTAGAAATAGATAGTGCTATTTTTTAGGGCTATCGTATTGGAACACTGTGTTTAGTGACTACCTGATTGGATCTGGAGAATAAATCTTTCGTTATTGACATCTGCACAGATTATAATACTAATATTGTAACCCAGTCTAAATCTGTAATCACAAAAGATCGCTGTAGGTACATTTTAGAATAATAAAACTGACATGGTCATTAGGCATTACCGCATTAGGTTTGAATGTGGATCACAACCTTATTTGGTCGTTCATAATGTGGATGATTTTTTTACCTTTACCTCATTAAAATAAGCAAGTAAAACATGAAGTTTTACCTATACCCTTTCCTGCCCACCATTGTTCATTCACTTCAAAAATTCATTCGGGGAGTAAATTTTTTACTACACTCAATTTCCCTTATTTGAGGGGATGTACATTGAAATTCTTTAGTATGGGCCATTTTTTAACATACATGTTAAATTAATATGAATATTAATTAGGTAAATTTCCAAATCTGTATTACCGACAACATTTTATGTAGGGCAATAATATTGCAGATGGCGCATAAGATGAATATAAAACGTATAAATTTAGTGAATTATTTTATTTTTGATAATGGAATGATTATAATGATGATCGTGAATAAAATCGTATACGAACCTCGACGAAAGGTTATTTTTCTTAGAATATAATCACCCTCGGCGCTGCGCGCCTCGGGTGATTAAAATTCTTCGAAAAATAACCTACTTTCGCACTCGGTGCGTAATATACTTTTAAAACCTTTAATAGTGTGAGTCTATTAAATAGATTATTAAATTGTGTAAGAGCACACAATTTTTTTTAATTAACCTCACGAATTACGAGGTTGGGGGGGAGCACGTGATGACAACGTGATGTGTAATACGTTGAAACGTGCTCCTGCCAGCGAGTATGGCATTATTTCCCAACGTAAAGTTTACAGCAAAAAAAAGGGAGAGTGATATCAAGGACGCACGGGAGAGAGTTTTTCCACAAACATTGTTGGAATTTTTTTTTAATTTGTAAACTAAATGTTGACCCAACAACATAAAATTCTTGGAAATTATACGATTGTATGAGTGTACAAACCGGGAGGAGAAATTGCGAGAAATTTCAAAGCCCACGAGGTGTGTCACTCAGAGTAAAAATTCCAAGAAAATCGTTTCAGAAACAAAATGTGTCACAAAGGTCAAGACGGTTGAGGGCATTACTCGAGAGTATAGTCTGCCTTAGTCTTAGACCGGTGTCGTTTTTTTTTGTTTCGGAAACTCATTACACGCGCCGGTTGAAGAGTATCAAGTTGGGAGTGAGCAAGAGAGATTTGCTTTCACGATATTTGAAATCTTAGTCACGTGTAACGAAACAAAGTTCTTGATAAATCCGCTTAGAATAAATCATAACTTCGACAATTCAAATCAAGAAATTAATAAAGCAGTGCTTTTTGATATCTTACATTTGAATTAGAGATTTCAAGAGAATTGTTATTGTGTAAATCGATACATGCACGATCGCACAAAGTTTTTTTAATGTGTTCATTTTTGAATTTGTGATGTGAGAGTTTACGGCAGAGCAACTGAAACTTGAAAATCTCAAAAATTGTTTAAATTATTAAAATAACTTGTAGT